AGAGAATTAGCGTTTGGTTTTGGGGTCAAGCCTTGGTTTCAGCTGGTTGCTCGATGTTTTCAAGAAAGCAATGCATCGGGAAGTTCTGCGACAGGCTTTGAGCGGACAGATCTGCGGAGATAGCTGTAGAGCCCTGTGCCAGTTGACATGGATGGTTCAAGTTGTTTGATGGACGAAATCCTGCGCCACTTTGAAACTATTGTTTGCTGGTGTTTACAGGATACTCATCATATCAGGGTCGTTAGAAGGTGCAGGTTTTCGTCCATCAACGGTATGTAGCTATCAACAATCTTTGACGTGTTGTCGCACTCAGCAGATCTGTCGCATGGTTCGGTCTCGAGCGACGCCGGGAGCCAATCAGTTTGGTTGCCGGACGCTCGACAAAGACGTTTTCACACGTCGGACATCGCAGGGAAGGCTATGTTGGGAGCTATGGCTTAACAAGTTGCACGGAGTGTGGCGTCCCAATACAACATGACATGTGTTGTCAACATGTAGCATGTCGTGTGCATGGTGGTCTCATTGCCAATAAGCTCTCTAGGCAATCCCACGCAACCCAATCACACGCAAGTCTCGCGGGGTTTTCGATTTGTGATGTGAGAACTCTCTCCAACGCCGGCTCAAGTCTTCGGCTTCCTGTCAGATTGCTTCGAGTTTCAGGTTCCCCCCAAGGCTAGCGGTTTGGATAACCCTGAGTTGCGGGGCAAGTTTGGAAAACTAATTACCAAACCTGGCCTCCGAACCGAACCAAGCCGAACCAAACCGAACCAATCCGAACCAAGCCGAACCAAACCGAACCAATCCGAACCAATCCGAACCAAGCTGCCAATCCGAGAAACACCAAGTCGAAGGAATCCGAAGATCTGCGGCAGTTTCGGGCGGGGCATCCGATCCGATCGCTGCTAGGTACTCCATCGACCGGTGGCTGCGCTTCTTGACTTTGGAGCAGCATATGCCAGGAGGCTCGCGTTGTCTCGAAATGGTGACTTAACATTGGGGCAACCCTAGGTTGATTCCATCAGGTTTCCAGCTTTCAACCAACCAACCGACCATCCAACCATCCAACCATCCAACCATCCAACCATCCAACCATCCAACCACTTTTGGCCACCAAAAAAAGCGCGAATCCGACTAGGTGTCCGTCTCCTATGCTCAGTCTCCTTGCCGTTTCCCTCCGCATCCGAAGGCGTTGAGTCCATTTTGGTTGAAACTCCATGGAGTTCTCAAACCGAAGCCGCGAACTGCGCCAGCTGCGGCGTTTTCGGTGGCTTCCCAAACTAAACCAATCCCGAAAACACGAAAAAACCCTGGATCGCCAGTTGCGATATTTTTTTTTATCCATGCACTTTACCCCAAAATCCGATCGCAACAGTGACTGAAGACAGCGATCGCAAGTTGGCTATCTAGGAAGGAACCTCTGGGTGGTAGGTGGATGTCGCGTTTGGGGAGGTCTTCTGCGGCTTCTCTTTGTGCTTTGCACACCAAACGGAGTTCTCCGATTCTCGGAGTCCGAAAATTTCAATTTAGCTTTGCAAGTATGGGCGGGGGTTGGTGCGTGTTTCGGTCGGTTTTAGAGGGAATCCACGGAAAGACGTCAACCATGTTGAGGATGCCCTCCTTGAGACACACATCCGGATGCCCCGAGTCGGTTGCTTTTATCCATTGTCCACTTTGAGGCAGGCGCGATCCCTTGGATGTTCGGCCAAGTTGGAAAGTAGGTGATAACCCACCCCTAAGTGAGGTTGACCTTGTGATTGGGTTACAACCCAAGCAGCTAAGCACTTGCTCTTGACGCGCGTGGTCCATGCCACTTGGCCAACATGGAACTGTGATCCCGGACCTTCAGCGCATCAGCTTGCTGTAGATCCCTCTGCAAAAAGTGTTTTTCAACTTTTGTGTGTTTAATGGACTCAGTTGTTCAGTGGCACCAATTCTTCTTCTTTTTCCCTTTTGTTTGGTGGCTGCCCCACTAAGAATGGCCTGCTCCGAAAAGGGTTCCCTTTTTCTTCAGGGTCACTGAACAACTGAGTGGAACCCCCCTTGTTTTCCCAAAAAGTTGAAGTCTGAAGATATCTAACCCAGTAGCAGTCAAGCTATAGTTTCCCACATGTTGGGTGGTATTTTAAGCATCACCTTTTCATGGTTGTTGGGAAACATTTCCCATTTTCGATCTTATTGTGGTTTAGTGTTTGAAATCCAAATCCACTTAACTGCTAAAACTTAAATTCTAGCTTCCCTACCCCAACATCAGCCAAGTTTTGGGCCGCTCATGGCACTTCTATACGTTGTGTGTGCTGACGCTGACGTAGATCCGATCTAAGCTGCTTTTGGTAGGACTCAACCAGGTCCCCCAGCGAGTGGTGCCCTTCTCTCCCGTTTCTTTTTTGGTTGGGAGAACCCCCTACTAAAATAGAAGACAAAAAAAAAATCGGGTCTCTCACCCCTGTTTCGGTTGGAATGGGGAACCCCCTAAAATAGACTACAGAAAAGAATCGGGTACAAACTTATTCTAAGCTCTCAAATCTGGAGGACCTAGGCAATTTAAGCCTTCGAAGATCGGCTGCTGCTAAGAGAAGTCCTTCCTCACGAAGAGGGCAGGTCTTGGAGATAGTGGATTGAGAACAAGGCCCCGAATTCTTGTTCAGAGGCGAGCAACTGGTCATTGAGAACTGGGGCAGTATTGGCCTTTGCATCCAGACAGGGTGACGTTTCGCATAGCGTCGAAGCAAACAGTAGAATGATGCGCAATGTTTGCAAGCTGGCCAGTGACCAGCAGGGAATGCGGGGCGCAACACAGTTCGATGAGGGCAGAGTCACAAACCACACAACAACTGGATCAGCAGCGCACGTCTACAATCTCGTCCAAGTCATGTGGTTTTTGAAGCAGCCGACTAGCATTTATCGGGAGTTCAATGACACACACACACACAGTTCGATCAGAGAGTCTGTTCGTTCCGAGCAGGCTTCAGCATCCTGACGTAAACCTAAAAACACTGAAAACACGACAGGCCCACACTGCCGAACGTCAGCACAACCGGAAGGAATCCGACAAAATCAGCTGCCAGCATGCCAGTGTTGACTGGGATTTCAAATTGACTGGGCTGCTCCCAGGAGCAAGAGTTTTTACTTTTGCGCCCCCTCGATTCAAGCCCCAACTGGGTTGCGTAAAATAGGGATTGCAGGCAACTCAAATCTCCGAATAGGTCTGTCTCAAATGGACGAACAAAATGGGTGGTGTTCCTTGTGGTGTCTTTTTGTTATGCTACCCCAAAATGCTACTCCTCAAAAAACACAATCCCAAATGTTCACATATGCTCACAACAAAGATCACGAGACTTCGAACGTGATGCTATCGCTCGAGTGGAATGCTTTTTTCGTTAGTGGCCCATGTACCAGCTGGGCATTGGCAATCAGGCTACCCTTAATTGGTGGTTTGGATTGAACCGCTGGCCCTTGTAGGGGCAAACATGGGAAACCACACCCGAACGACCAAACCACCAGGATCCAAACCAATCAGAGGGAAGCTGAGACAATGACCTCTGGCAGGCATGAGCCGCCTTCAGAAGATTGAGATTGGCAGCAGCTTGGCAACTGAATTCAGTTGCTTCGGCCGGGGGGGGAGGGGCGTCCGTTTGTGAGTTACACGTTTTTTCATTCAGGTTTCTGCTACAGATGCTGTCGTTGCGATCCGGCATTGCTTGCTAGGCTGCTTTTTGACAAGCTCTGGCGCTTGACATTCGATATTTCCAGTGAAATGTCCAGTGGGAGGTTGTCCCAATCGTAATTTGCATGTCCCATTTGCATTTTCGCTGTGCCCCGGGCGAGGCATTCGTGATGTGGTTCTGGGCAAGGACTTGCCGGTCGGCGCGGCTTTTGAGAGTTGAGCCTTGCAAATGGTCACTGCACCTAACAACACGTCTCCACGTGTTGTTTGAAGCTGAAGTAACACATCTCCACATTTGGTTGCTCCTCAGTGCCCCCCCCCAAGCAGATGCAACGCTCGCAAGAAGTACCCTCCCTCCCACTAACATAGCACCTACCCGTTTCACTGCTGTATGCGCGCGTGTGGCATAACAGCTTGCAACCCATTCGACAAGGTACACAGAGACAACAATCCCAACAAATCCTGTACAACTAAAGTAACTAGCTTCTGGAAAACCAACCGCAGCGTAGCATTACAAACTCAGAATCCAACAGTCAAGATCTTGAACACCTTGCGGTTCAGAAGCTCGAGCTCCTCTCGAGAACGCATCTCCTCCTACACCCTCCTATCATTGAGGCTTTTTGTCACATGGCTGTGGGTCAAAACCAATGGTACCATTTTGGGGTAGGTGCACTACCCATGTTAGTCTATTTTAGTGGGGATTAGGATGTCACTGGGGGTATGATTTGGCTTTTGACCCATGGCCACATGCTGCCTGAAACGGACAAGTTGTCGCGGTCTGGCAACCAGACTCGTACAGATTGCTGTCTCAGAGCAAGCCTCCATCCCCCATCCCCCCCACTTCAACTTTGGCAGGTTCCACTTTGGCAGATTGGGGTCCCGCAAATCAGGTTTCGGCCAGTTCATGTTACCTCCGTTTTAATAAATGTTTGCTTGATTTGATTGGGGGGTGTCCCCGGGATTCAGACCACTTTTGGAGGAACACCCCCCGAGAATGGGACGGGTTTATTACTCCTGGGTCAACATTAGAGGGGTCCAAATGCGTGCACAGGTCGCCTCCTGCCATGTGGTATGGTGGATTGTGTTGGGATTCGATTTTGGCAGCGATTTCGTAACAGCCAGCTGCATTGAGTTGCCGAAGTCAAGCAAAGTTTCTTGCTCGCAGCCATCCGGTTCCTGAGCTTTTTAGCTTTTTAGCTTCTCGGTGCTGAGTGGTTGAGTTTCCCTCTTCAACCCACCAGTTGTCACTCGTTGGAGGGTCAGAAAACGAGCCCAGGTGAGCCACTTGCTCAAAACCCGGGAAGACGAAGGTTAGTAGACGAAGGTTAGCCATAAA